GTGACGACCGGCTTGCCTGTGCGTGGGCCGCCGATCCGCCTGAAGGGCCCCGAGGCTTCCATCGTCCGCGAGGAGCTCGAGGCGGGCGTGGAACAAGGACTGTACTCCAGGGGGACCTCGCCCTGGGGCAGCTGGGCCTTTCCGACCAAGGAGCACGCGAGCGGCCGGAGGCGTCGGACCGTCGTGGACTACCGCATGGTCAACCGCAGGATGGTGATGTTCGTGTACTACATCCGCCGGTGCCGAGACGTCAAGGGCGAGCTGGTGGGCTGCGCCTTCATCTCCGGCATGGACGGCGCTCGCGGCTTCAACCTCCTGGTCAACACTGAGCACGCGAAGGAGGTCCTGGCTGTGCTGGCGGACTGCGGCTGCTACCTCCCCGAGGTGCTGCAGCTGGGGCCAGCGACGGGGCCCTTCGACTTCCAGTTCTGCACCGACGAGCTGTTCACCGGCACCGGCCGCGGACGCTACGGTTCGGTTTGGAAGAACTACATCGACGACTTCTGGGTCAGGACGGGGCAGTGGCTGAACGGTCGCGCCTACACCGACCGAGAGTACGAGGAGATGCTGGCAGCGGCATCCCCCCCCCCGGCTGCCTCTCGCCCGCTGGGCGACTCGCTGGCAGCAGCCGGGTTCGCGGGGACTCGCAAGGCCAGCCAGAGCTACGACCACGCCAAGGGCGTGCTCGTGGGGCTGTGCGTGGCGCAGTCGGCCACGGGAGCGGCGGCCATGGACGGCGGCGGGGTTGCCTTGGCGAACGGCCTCCGCATGCTGGTGGTGGCTGCCGCGGTGCGCACGGCATCCTTGATGGATGAAGGGCTGCGCGCGGGCGTGCAGCTGACGCAGGACATCTTCGAGGCGGCCGGCGACCTGGTCCAGAGCGTCTCCTGGAACCTCAGCGGCCTCATCCACGAGGTGTGCGAGGGTGCGGTCCCGGTGGTGCGCGTCCTGGTCGTCGTGCAGTGCTGCTGCGCTCTCTACTGCCTGCGCTCGTGGGTGGCTTGCCGTTCGCAGCGGGCGGCGCTGGAGCGGGCCGCCACCGCCGGCGAGGCGGCTCAGCGCGGACTCACGTCCAGCGCGCGAGCCTGCGAGGCCGGCGACGGGCCCGCCTTCGGCCGCGAGCCGATGGCCAGGGCGGCAGCCGCTGGGAGGAGCCCGGGCGGGGCCCTCTCATCAGCAGATGGCGCCGCCAGCCCTGTGGTGGCGCTGTGGCGCGAGGCGGAGTTCGAGACGCCCCTGCTCGGAGCGGCGGCACGCCCCCGAGCGGAGGTCCTCCTGATCCAGCGGAGCGCGGCGGTGGCGCTGCGGGACCTGGAGCGCTCGGACCGCCAGCGCGACGCGCGCGCGCGACCTGGCCGCTTGCGGTGCGGTGGTGTCCGCAAAGCTGGTGGAGGCTGCGCGCAGCTCAGCAGTGAAGGACGCGGGCGACCTGTGCGAGTTCGAGGTAGAGGTGGCCGGCAGCCGCGGCGTGCGGTATGATGTGCGGCTTCGCGCTGGACGCTCGGCCGCAGCGTTGCTCCCCGCGTCGTGCACCTGTGCCGACTTCGTCGGCGGCGTCGGCAGCCCCTGCAAGCACATCGGGGCGGCCTGGTGCTGCGCGGTGGACGGCAACTTCAGCGAG